GTGTCTATTTACTTGTGACCACTCAATGTAAATCAGTATACCAACACTTATATAGTTGAAGCTTTCTTTTTTATATCAAGACCCCGAGAATTTGTTCCATTCGTTGTGGTTTTTCACTAATCATGCTGTCACTCAAATCATATGACCACACTACGTAGATTATTACGTCAATTTGCAGAAGTTGTTGGGACCGCGATTATATAATACTTATTAAATTAGTGCAGTAGCATACTACATGTATATATATTTTTTTGGGAGGTGGGTGGGTAAACTCTCCAAATATATATTTCCACATCAATGTTCCGTTGCCTCATTAACTCGGTGCTTATGGTAGTGGTATAATTATACTTATAAAGCTTTTATTACCTTAAAATAACGAACAAGCCGAACTACCTGCAAAAAATTGCCATAAGTTAAGTAACTTTCCATTTGTTATAAAGCTATTTGTGCTCTACCCACCATCGGTGTCGAAATCCGATTTTTAGCGCTATGATCCCCCAGACTTGCCACTGAGTTCCCGGTGGAGAGGAGGGGAAGATTAGGATTCATTCTAAAACTTTACTTTTTATCAGTAGGTTTTATTCCAAACATAACCACTAGATTAAAAACACGTGTATGTCTAATAATACTAAACCTTTTATTACTAATTTTTGGAGAAATATTTCAAATAATTATTTCTCTTAAAAATTTGTACTATTGAAACAATGGAAATCACTTAGAGCGTTAATGGTATTAAATGTGAAATTCACGATTTAGTAGATATTGAAGATAAAACACAAATGTATCGAAAACACAATTAAGTCAAACATACATTTTTTGTACATTCTAATATGAGTCACTGTTCCTTTAATTATTAAATAAAAAAGATAATTATCTAACTTCTAAGAGAAATTTTAATTCCAGCAAAGTATTGTTAAAGAAACATTAGAATTTTAAAATATAACATGCGATTAGTCCCAAACGGGAATGTATTCGAATTGCATATTACGCGATAGAATTTATATAGCAAAAAATATATTTTGAAATTTAACAAATAGCTTCAGTAGTGCAATTTAACAAAGCACAATATTCGTTTTTATCTCCATCACCGAAGGTGGACGGAGGTTATGCTTTTACCCCTGTTTGTATGTTTGTCAGCAAGTTTTTTTAAAAACGGCTAAATGGATTTTGACGAAAGTTTGTACACTTGGATAAAGAACCAACTTAGAAATTATTTGTTTTTGGAGGGACAATACCAAAGGGAGAGGTCACAGCAAGGTCAAGAAAATAAAAAATATCCCTATCTGTTAACATGGGGACCGATTTTTCACACTATTTTCGCCCTATAACTCAGTTAAAAATGATCGGATTTTGATGAAACTTGATAGACATATGTAGAATCTTGTTCCTCATTATCCTGTCAAAAATGGTTCATGTCCTTTCATAACGACAGACATACGGACAGATTTTCGTATTTTTTTAAGGGTCGAATATGATCAATGCTGCGTGGCGGATGTATGCGCATTGATAAGTGCTCCTCTAGTTTCAAATCTGTAATAATTTACTTTGTGCTCTTATTTAGTTCAACCAACAAAAATGTTGTTTTATTATATTTCCATAATTATGTTAATAGGGTAACTGAAATACTTTATAAATATTACTTACTTTAAGAGTTTGACTTAAGACATATTACTTACTACCTGTATACTTTACAAGGTTACTTACATTTTATCCCCAATTTTTGTATACAAACATAGTAGGTCCCTATAGCAGAGCCTATACAAATCCAATATTTTAATCATTACAACTAATTCTGAGAATTATTTACAGCCCAATCCATACAAATAAAAGGATCTGATTAGAACCGATTACGTAGCACACACACACACAATTTACAGGTTTTAAAAACGAAAACTGTGGTACAACACAAATGTATTGTGTATAGAGAAAAAAATCCAGAAATAGCGTCAAATGTTCTTTATTTTACTAATAGAAAATGGTACATTTTTCACAAGATGTTAATTAAGTACAAAATTTACATTAGTTCAAATCTATGAATTTCTACTTACTACCGATTATTTACAAGAAGAAAGAAATGAAATTAATTTTAACAGCGACTACCAATACTTCTTACCACCGAGTTTCCACTTTAACAGATGTTCTAACAATTAAATAGTGCAAAAGAGTTATTAATGCCCAATAACTAATAAACAAAAGCTTAGCATAAATGGTGCCACTTTGTCTTAAAGTAGAATTGTCTTTAAGCAAAAAGTAAATAATGTCAACAAGACTGACTAAATAAAACAAAAACTTAGCATGTAATACATAATGCCACTCTATCATAAAATAGTAGTTTTTTTAAAGGAAGATGAAATAATATTAACAAGACTTAAAAGAATTCAAATCAACTAGCTACATCTGAAATCAAGGAAGATTAAACAGGAAATAGGAGATTTAGCTGAATTATCTATTAACTGAAAGTGCACGGAGTCGGTCTATTCGGTCAACCAAATACTGGAGAAAGAATGTTAACTATAATCCCGAATAAACTTTTAGTAAGATGTACAAGTCTGCTGTAAACAAAAAATTAGATGTGTTAGAAAAGTATTTACACTCAAGATATGCCTGTGAATTGACAAGTCAATCTGACTGAGACTCCGACAAGCTGTAGTGCATTCTACAGTTTATATGTTCCATTTCTATAACCTTTAGAACCTCTAAATGCATATCTAGTTTTTTTTCAGTATCCCTATATATTAAGTCTAGTATTTAGCGTTTGTTTGTTTCCTTTAGAGCAAAGCCACATTGGGCTATCTCCTGTGTCCAGCGCGAGGAATCGAAATCCAGATTTTAACGTGTAATTCTGTGAAGTTTCTGCTGCTCCACTGAGGGACCTGATATATACTCTCCTCTACCATGATCTGCTGCTAAATCAGCAATGAGGGTAAAATAATTGTGACATCAAATACATAATACCATGTTGAATGGCACCCTGTCAAAAGTGGTAACATGCACACTTTGACTCCCACCTGTGCACATAGGGTTAAAATTAAAAAGAATGTTCATAGCGACTAAACAAATTCCACACTTGAAGAACCCAAGGATTTATGGAAATTTTAAGTTAAGGCCCGGTCTAAGTAATTCTTGTTTCACGTGCTGTTTATACTTTTGTAATTGAAACCGAAGTTCAGACTGTCTCCTATGTGCTGTTTCAGCATGGATGGATTTAAACTAACATGCTATCAAGTTTCGGAAAGAAAAATCATATGTATTTTTCCTGTTGTTTCATTATACGTTAAGTATGAAATTTTCAATACTTTCATTTCAAGTTGTTGCTATATGTCAATGAAGGCTAACGATTAAGATTGTACAAAATTGTAATGGCATATGGGATAATATCTTTAGCACTCAGAGTTTGAACATATTACACACTCTTTAACGAAAATTTTCATTGTAATTTATGAATGTAAGTCACAATTTAAAGTAAGAGAAATGACTGAAAAATACGTCAAAACCCAAAACAGGGTTTTGGTTATTTTTGATGTGTTGCACACAAAGTTTGATGTTTTTGAAGACTGTGTCAAGCTCTGCTGAATGCCTTCTTTAGTTTTACAACTTGCAATATATATAATAAATGAAATCAAAACTATAAGTCTAGTGTATGTAAACAAAAAATTACTAAATAATTTTCAATATAGTATTTACTTCTTCAGGTTCATCTTACTAGAAAACAAATGTAAAATTACGTAATCAACTAAAAAAGCAATTTTTGTTTGATTCTACATACTCAAAAGTTCACAGAAATGCCGATTGCAGTAGCAGCTGTGTTACATATTATAATTTTAAATGGTCTGAAATTAAGTTAACTGATAACATAAATTTAGTAGTAAAATCGTACTTTGGATTTATTATTTAAATAAATGCCGATATATAGTCAGTTTATGGTATTTGCCAACAAGATTGATACACAGATTTCTTTTTTAACACAGATACATACGTTTTAATACACACACACAACAATACAATTTACAGTAACAATTATTACCAATAGTTATTACAAACAAAGATTTATAAACAAAAGTTTCACAAACTTACAAACAATATCAATATTCTTTCTACTTTGGAACTCCCTTGATATCTTATCGAGGGTTACGATGAGCGAGTTAATTACGAGTTGATGTAAGTACGATTCGCCGAGAAGCTAG